GTTTCTCCTTTATATATATTTTTTATTACAAATGTATGGAATGCACACAGTCCTTTGCCATGTCCTCTTTTAAGGCTGGGGGTCTTACTCGGAAGAGATGGCTGCAAAGTATCGAACCACTTTTGAAGGTCGTCCTGTTATTGTATGGACGACAGATATTTTGTATTTTCTCCGATAATCCCTTCACATAGGGTAGGCAGGCCGAAGCTGTTTTCTGAGCGTTGTTATCCTATTGTACCCTTTTATTCTAGTTTGTTTGGCCTATGGCCATGTACCCAGAGTAGTTGTTACGTTGTAGGGTGTTGCTTTTACTGACTATTTCTTGTTCATATATCTCTGGGTCGCCAAGTATGACTTTTGCTCGATGCTGTAAGTAGCGGACGATCCTATTCTTTACACTGTATGGGTGGTGGGAGTTGAAGTTGAGGTATTGTCTGGTGAATGTCGGCTTGCCGTATTCTGATGTCGTGAACACATGCTCTGTTCGAGATATTAGCATATCCAAGAATCCGGCTTTGTAGTGGTTTTCTCTTTCCATTCTAAACTGAATGGATGCTCTTATTGAACTCACATGGTCCAGTAGTATCAGGACCTCTTCCTGGTATTGTCAGAATATGAAGCTGTCATTTGTGTATCTCTCCCACAAAGTTGCCTTTAGTGATGATGAAGATTCTAATGCCATATGCCGGTGGATGAATAAAAGAGTTTAGTTCGAAATTCTAATCATCTGAAGATGGTAGGGGCGTACAACAGTCGAAACGTCATAAATATAACAATAAAGAAGAGGACAACAGGCCAAACAATGTAAATAAAGGCTTTTCTGTTTAGAAAAAATGGAATAGCGGTAACCATTTTTTTCAGCATTTGGATTTTCCAGATAGGAGTTTGCAGTTCTCGATAAAAGTCGTAAACATACAGAAAAACAGCAGTAAGTGTAAGGTAGTATGACTTGATTTAGGTAGACACACACACACACACACACATATATATATATATATATATATATATATGTCAGATTTAATCTGATTCTAATTATCATTTTTCGTAATCCCAAACAACACACACACACACACACACACACACACACACACACACACACACACACATATATATATATATATATATATATATATATATATATTTCAATAAAGGTGCAATTAATTTACAAATTCATGAATTATTCATACAAAAAACAAATACAAAGGTTAGTGATTTAATTGGCGAGAAATCCATCGTCGCGAACAATTCAAATTTTTACAAGTTACTGAGTTACAAGCTTTCGTCTGTTCATATTCATGTTCATGTGCTTGTAAAAATAAGAACTCATGCAACAGAAATTTATAGAAACAAGGATCTTTTCATGCATAAACATGTTCGGGGTTTTTGTATATTATTTGAATTGTTCGCGACGATGGATTTCTCGCCAATTAAATCATTAACCTTTGTATTTGTTTTTTGTATGAATAATTCATGAATTTGTAAATTAATTGCACCTTTATTGAAATTAAAATAACTGATCCAAATGCAACTTTTGGATAATAAGTGCGACATTACTGTAATTATTGAACAATTAAGTTCATGCCACTTTGACAGAAAATTTACCAGTAAAAAAGAATTCGCTTATCACCATATTTGTATAAGAACGCACAATTGTAAAATTTAAATTCAAACTCAGCGTTGCGACAGCACGCTCCAAAAACAATACCTAATTTCTAATAGCATTTTTCGGATTACAACAGTACATATATTTTCGTTGTCCTCTTATTACTGAGAGAAAAACAAGAACAAAATCTATTCTATACCTGAGGATGTCTGTATGAACAGACGAAAGCTTGTAAAAATAAGAACTCATGCAACAGAAATTTATAGAAACAAGGATCTTTTCATGCATAAACAGGTTCGGGGTTTTTGTATATTATTTGTATTGTTCGCGACGATGGATTTCTCGCCAATTAAATCATTAACCTTTGTATTTGTTTTTGTATGAATAATTCATGAATATATATATATATATATATATATATATATATATATATGTAGCGGTGACAGTGTGGTTCATGATTAAACACAATCTTCAGGCTTTTGCCTGTAAACTTAACCCCGAAAATATTCGTCCTTCGACAGGATTTGAACCTGTATCCTATACGGAACCGTGATTTAGCTTGATGTGCCTTTACCGATTTGGCCACAGAGGCGCGTTCGGTTAGCAAGGTCGACTTTACTATATTTGAACTTCAATCTTCTATGAATCTCTCACGTACTTTCATATCTGCTCATGGCGTATCAAATGTAAACAAATGACGTCACACATTATGAAATGGACAAAGTCCGACAATTATTTTATGACCTTTTTATGTTTATACATTCTTTTTATAGATACAAACATTTAAGTAAATGCTCTGTTTATAATAAACAGTATTAAAAAACATTTACCGGCCTGAATGTCCAAGAAATTTTCGCAGAAACTATTCGTCCTCTGACAGAATTCGGACCTGTATCCTATACGGAACCGTCATTTAGTTTGACGTGCCTTTACCGATTTGGCCACAGAGGAGCGTTCGGTTAGCAAGGTCGAATTTACTGTATTTAAACTTCAATCTTCCATGAATCTCTCGCATATATTCACATCTGCTTATGGCGTATCAACTGTAAACAAATGACGTCACGCATTTTGAAATGGACAAATCGGTAAAGGCCGTATAGGATACAGGTTTGAATCCTGTCGGAGGACGAATATTTTATGTGAAAGTTGTCAGACAGCCATGATTGTGTTCTGCTTGTGTAGCATGGTGCAGAGTCTTAGGATCTTCCAGCAGCCATCATCTTCATACTGGGCAGTACTACCTCCTAAAGACACTTGATGTATGCCTCTGTGTTGAGTCTGAGCACCTGTGGGAAGATGAATAGAGGCATAACGTCGCCATCACTAGTGATCACTCCAAACACTATGATGTTGACTGGATATATCATCCAACTCTTTCCGAATCCTCTGCGTTGTCTTCGGATTGACACCCAATTACTCTGAAATATTCGTATTAGAGTTTCCGGTGCGAATGCCAAAGCCGTTTCTAACTTTCTTGTTGAGTGATTTGCGTAATGGTGCTTTTTTCTCACAGACGGTGCCCAACTGACCCTACTATCCTGTGCAGTCGACGACATAAAAAACAAACAACGCGCATGCGCGAAATTAAAAATATAAAATGGCGACAATTTACTCATCGTACCTATATATATATATATATATATATATATATATATATATATATATATATATATATATATATATAATTATTTATTTAAAATATGATTCCAACACGATACATAAGAGTTCTCATGTTTCAAAACAAGAGCCGAAAACTTCAAGCACTATTTTTAAAAAATAATAACTAAAATACTAAAGAACTTTGGATTATTTACCTAATGAGTTCTTTTCTTATTTTCTATATATTTTTATATATATATATATATATATATATATATATATATATATATATATATATATATATATATGTATATGTATATATATTTGTGCACACGCGTGTATGTGTATTCAGTTTTGCAATTATTTTTTTATTTATCTCCTAGCGGAATATAAGCCGATAGCAACTAAATCCTGACCATCTGTCATTTCAATTAAAATGTGCTTTCTTTTGTTTCATTGAATGCAGAAAAAGACACCAAAGAATTTCTGCCGAGTACAAAATCGATTGCTAGGAACGGAGAGAGAACAGAATTCGTTACTTTTGATTAAACGATTTTCTGTTAGAACACAATAGATTTCGGAATTGACGCAGTTTGGAGTGTGGGTTGGAAAATGAATTGATACATATCTCTAAATCTCTATCTGGAAAACAAGGCGTTGTTTTTAAAAGAGCAGTGGGGTGCTTTCTCAACTAGGATGGGTTATATTCTTCTTCTGTAAATGTCATATCCCTTCGGGACGTAAGCAGTCATAGATTTCAACAGAGATAATGGAGTGGTTTCCCGTTGCTTTCTCTACGGTTTTCTTTGCAGAGTGATCCTTCTCCTAAATTGGTCGCCTTTCTACGACAATCAGCTTTACTGTTTACTGGGAGAAGAGATGGATTACGGCGAAGGATTTCAGACTGAACTGCACGCAGTTGACTAGGTCGGAATTTGAACTCGTCTTCATGATTTGATTTTATACACCAACTTGACATTGAATCACCTGCACATCCACTTCTTTAACATTAGTGTTTTAATATGCATTTTTCTTTTAGGAAAAAGTTCGAATTCTTGATTTATTTTTAAGATTTTCATGCCAAGAAAGGCGGGAGTGCCACTAGCACGCAAGGGCTTACAGAGATTAGGAGCAAGAGGAAAGAAGCGTGATAGCGGAAAGAATGAAGATAAGAATGGGGAATAGAGTAAGGCACCTAAAGATGTCGATTGACATGGCATTTGAATATTTGGAGATTATAGCTATCAGGGAAGCAAGTAAGAGGACGGGAGTTCCACAGACGGAAAGTGCGAAACATGAATCTACTGGAGTAGAAGAGATGATTACATTCAACCGTTTCGGCAGTGAAAGGGTGGGACCGAGATGCCAACCTAGTAGCACATTTAAATTCATGAAGATTGTATAAGATTGGCAGGCATCATCGACAATAAGGTACCATATTTTAGGTCATCTATAATAATTACTGTCAATGATTGTAAATATTATTCAGTAAGAAATTTTTTTTCGTGGGAATTACTGTAATATCATTGGGTACTATAAGGAATAATTTATTGATTTGTTTTTTACGGTTTATCAAACTTTTTGCTGGGTATCTAAAGACAGCAAATATTTTGGGATTGTAAGAATTTATTCTTGGGGATAATAATTATTTTCTGGTGCATGTCTTACTATTTAACCCACAGCGTTCTCAAGGGTATTTGCCCGTAAGTGAATATAAAGAATCCGACTGGAATTCGAACTCGGCTCTCTGATTTCTCATTCCGAGCTGTTACCTATTCCACCACCCGCACATCGAAGCTCACAGCTCCTGGTATTCCCAAGCGACCACCCATCTAGGTAATGACCAGTCTCGACGTTGCTTAACTTCAGTGATCAGAAGAGAATCTATGTTTCGACGTGGTATGGCCGTACCGATAAGAGATTAATGTTTACGCTTTCCTAGACCATGCCTTGCGCAAGAACACGCCCAGATAGGAAGAAATGGGACTGGAACAGTCAAATACACCGCTTCGTAACCCAAAGGAATCTGCTAATAGAAGATGGTATTCTTGCTCACTAAGTGCCAGTGTGCAGGCAGCCATGTTGATGATGTAATTACTCATGGTTTCTGTAAAAACAAGATTCTAGACCAAGTATACTCAGATGGAGCATTTCCGTTAAAACTTTCCAAACCGAAACTATAATCTAGATTTAAATCAATAATTCTCAAAGTGGGTGGCATGCCCCACCGGTGAGGCATGGTAATATTTTAGTGGGGCATGCGTAGGATGTGCACTCTTCAGCTTACTATACCAACAGAATAAGAGGGCAATTCGAGAATGAGTTATTAAAAGTTGCATTATTATTTCATTATTAAAATGATCAAAGTATATTACAGAATAAGCTTTCATTCAAATATTTTATATTTCTGCTTTTCAGTTCTTTATTATATGTTTTATATAATTAACTGTTCTTCTGTTTTTTTTTTAAATTTTTCTCTTTCATGGACGCCATTTTTATTTGGAGGCTTGTTTAGAGACCAAGTTAATGGTCTTTTAAGCTTCCTTCCGGTGAATTGCAGTAAAATTTTGAATATTTAAGTATTAAATATTACAGGTGGGCGCCAGAATTTTAGAATCACCACAGTGGGGCATGGCTCCAAATCGGTTGGAAAGCACTGATTTAGACTGATAATATTGATTGCCCATATCCTGATTTCATAATCATAAAAAATCAATTTGTAAACAAATCAAATACAGTGTAGTAATCCTCACTTGAACGGCGTAAAACAAACTACTATTCCCTGAATGGCGTAAAGCCAATAAGACCAAGTTATATACGTTCATTATAATTAAGCCTTAGTACAACGGGTAATGGTGGACTATGCAGTAAATAAATGCTGAAAACCCGGGACTGTTCTTGTGCCGCAGGATCTACAAGATGCTATGGATGAATAATGACGTCACGGAAGTATTTTCCGTGGTTGATTTCCTTCATTTCCGCCAAAGCAACCCAGCCATCAGAAACAGTATGTTTTCCAAGCTGAATATACCGCACAAACGCCACTTTCAGAGTCTCTGCTCGCTCGTAAAACACCTCAACGAAGAAACGCTTTCCCGAATCTCGATCGATATACAATGGCCAGGGTACCATTAGCCGTTTTGATATTTACGATGAAATCATTTGAAGATATAAAATGGCAATTTATTTTACACCGCTTTTGTGAAGATAGAAGGAAACTGAACATAGAATAGAAGCAGTTTCGCTCAACAGCAAACAAATTGCTAAAAAAGCAAAACTTAACCTAAATACAGAGAGTCCTCGACTTACGGCAGTTCCGTTCCAATGATGCGTCGTGAAATGATTTCCCGTATAATTCGGAAGGTATCCGTGATTTTCTGTGAATAAGCACTTACGTCATTCACCTGTGCTAAAGCAATAGTAAAGTAATAATCTCGGACATAAAAACATTTCTATGATACATGTTTACATAATTAGGACTAAAAATCACGTCGAGGACATAAATATATTCCATATAATGAAATAAAAATAATGCATATAATGATTTATTGCAAGTGATGTCATTGGCTCTCGATGACGAAGCGTCAGATCTTGTCTCTCTTGCAGCAGCAAATCTGGGGAAGAAACAAAGTCAAAAGTATTCTTCTGCCGCGCCGTGTGCATCGTATGTATTAGGCAAACGGCATAAGTCGAAACAAGATTAATTAAGATTGCGTCGTAACAACGAATCGTCATCGGTCGGGTCTGTCGTAACCCGAGGACTTACTGAAATTTAATACAGGCTAGCTTGAGCTAAGCTTACTTTTTCTCCCAAGCCGTTAAACGCTAAACACCTGTCTTAAAAATACCAGTCATGTTCCTAAATAGCTTCGTCAGATATCGACACTAATATGGATGTTAGACATCGACTCCAACTCATTCGGAATGGCCAAAGTATCATCTGCATAGAAAAGTTTAAAAAAAAGGATTCCGGCAAATAAATCTATTAGGTCTATTGAAGAAAATCCTTCTTTAATTCCTATAAACTAGGGCTACGTAATCCTGAACACATGGCCGTACCAAATAACAAAAAACTACATCGCTTGAACACTTCCAACAGAAGCCACAATTAAAATGGATAGTATATGTAACGGGAAGAGAAAATAATGATATAATGTAGAAGTTAACTTTCCATCCACACATACACACACGCATATATATATATATATATATATATATATATATATATATATGCGTGTGTGTAAATTATTTTTAGATAGAGTGTATCTATAAAGGAGCAAAATAAATAAAAAGAGACAGAAGGAAAAACTATTTATATCTGAAACATTTCGTCCTCGAAGTGACATTATCGTCATTGAAGTGACATTGTACGATTTATTTTGTCGCATGTACAAAAACTAGGATGTCATTGCTTAACCTGCTAATGAACACTAATGGGCGTTCTTAAATTTAAAAGCCTTGATAATCCACTGAACTTCTCGATTTTATATATAAATACGTATAACAAAATAAATTCTATATTGCCATAATAAAGTCCCTCCGGCTAAAAAAATAGTTTTTTTCTACTTGACTCTTTTTATTCATATATATATATATATATATATATATATATATATATATATATGAATGTAATGAGAAAGAAAAAAATATATAAATTCTAATGTTCACAGCAATAATTCAAAAGATGGATCAAAACCGAGAGTAGAGCAATAATTATTTATTATAATGTTTTTCATATAGACGAAAACCATTGTTTTTGTCTCTATGAAAGAATTATAATATATATATATATATATATATATATATATATATATATATATATATATATATATATATATATATATATATATGATAAAATAAAATAACAAATAGGAAACATATATCAATCTGACAAAGCTTTAATAAAAGTGAAACATGTTAGATTTATATACATTTCGTATTTCTTCTTTTAGTTTATCAACCTGTTAGATTCCGATCCATATTTGATCTACATTTGACCTTTAACTCACGCACACACACACACATATATATTCATATATAAATACAGATTTTCTAAATGTTTCAATATAGTTTTAAAAATCGATTGTAATAAAAATAAGTCTGAATGGCACTTTTGAAATTATCATTGTTTGAAAATTACATTTGCTCTATAGGAAATAAAAATAATCTTTTCCACCTGAGAAAGATTAAGTCTGTCGATGATGAACTTTAACTTCTTATTTAAACGTATGTTCATGATCGAACGCTCTTAACAAGAAATAAAACAAAACAAACGAATCTTGTTTATTCGCTTGATTGTTTTCAGATTATATTGTCTTCCATGTTGTTTTTTTCCCAATTATCAACTTAAATGAAAACACTCATCACAATTTTCATTTCACATTGATTATTAAATGTTATGGTCACGTGGCCCAGTTGTTAGAACGTTCGCATTCTGACCATGAGACTCGGGTTCGAATCTCACCACGGTCGATTTGTCAGGAAGTAGACTTCCTGATGTTATCAGACTGGAAGTGTCGATCTAGTGTGCAGCTATTGACCCAAAACTTGTAAGTGAAATTGGGTAGACGTTGCCCATGGGTTCCGTCGATAGCTTTACTGGCTCGAAGTCACAATTCGTTGTGGCTGAGGGTTTGAGCATGATGTCCTTGTTCAAATTTTTGATCACGCTAGATAACATGCTTTTTCCCAGAAACTCTAAGGTGAGCTCTGTCGAATAAACAGAAATGCGCCTGAGCTTGCGTCTGCAATAGGGATTTGCTAGCCTTGAATACCAGTGGCCAGCACTACTAATTGATAATTTAATTTCGAAATAGTCTTTACAGGTATCCGGGAGAAGTAAGTGGAATCAGTAAAAAAAATTCTTATCGCTTTTTTAGTGAAAAAAAGCAGTTAAATTCTGTATCCGAAGAATGATCAGTGATAAGATTTGTAATCCATCACACGTACATAATGCAAGTAATAACAGAAAGACTTTAATGTAAAATAAAATAATAAAATTAAAAAAAATAAAGTATTTAATTACTATCAAACGAAGTTAAAATATATTAACAACAAAGAAGTAAACAGTCAACGGAAATATTATTGATTACTAATCAGTTAATGCATGACTGCTTAGTGCTATTAAGAAAAGTACTAATTTATCTTGAACACTCGACTTTAACGTCTGGGTTAAGACAATCGTCAAATACGTAATTGTAACCGGTATTTACCAACCTCCCTACAAGGTAGGATGTGGCACAAGGCCGATTTTTAAGCAAGCTCTGACAAAACTTCCCCGTAGACACCGCATACACGGAGTCAGGTTGGTCTACCTCTTCTGTAAGCACAGACCCGTCTGTGTTTCTCACTGCCCGAAGGCAGAGAGTTCAACAAGTAATTGTAAGGGTAGCGTAATTGTAACCACCCCAGTCAGTGGCATATTTCTATTTATTGTAAATGGCGGTCTACATTTTCATTGTATAGTGATTCACGATCAATCTCCAGTGTCATCAGTGACATTTTTCATTCATATTACAATAAGTAAATCAATGTTATTACTGTTTGGTATGCAGTTAACTGTTTTATTTTACTAATATTCACGTGTCAAAGATTCTCACTAAAATATACAATTTGTGACAGTTCAATTCGCCGAAAGATAACTGAATATGGTTGGACAAACATTGTACGCAGGCGCATTCGGACATGTTCTAACTTCCGCTTGCTTGAAATGAAGACCAAATGACTCATTCGTTGCCGAGCAGTGGAAGTGGTTGTACTTGTTCATATTATACTGTTAGCGGAATATGAGTGGAAGATCTGGAACAGCGGATCAACTTTCTGTTTTGAGTGAGGATTGGTGAAAGTGCTGGTAAAATGTAAGCCATATTAAATTATCTTATGGTAAATCTGCTATATCTGTCTATATTTC